TCAAAATCAATAGACTTCCAAAACTAATTAAACCATCTAACTTAATAAAAAAGGAGATCGATTAAAGTAGAATATCACCTAAAGCACTTTGTTTGAAACATGCATAAATGAGAAACAGAGTTAGCATCACACAACATTAAGATGAAAAAGTACACCAAATGATGAAAAGCAAAAACCGCATAGAAATCCTACCGAAAAAAAGATTATCTTCGTAGTCACCGCCATGGTGAAACTCCATCCTGCCAGCAGCGGCTCCCTGTTTTCCTCTCGTCTAAAACCCCAAAAATCAAAACAAAAAAAACCAAAGAAAAACGAATCAATACCAAATGACAAAACCCCACCTGAAACCTCCTGTCAGAAGCCGATCCTTCTCGTCGCCGGTCGGAGTTGCTTCATTTCCACCACCGGCGACTTCCATATTTCCTCTTCTCGCCCGAAACTTCAACCAAAACCCAGAAATAAAAAATAAGAAATGATTAGAATCTACAACAACACCAAAATTAAAAGAAGAACTCTAAACCCGACATGCAATCATGAAAATGCTATCTCTGAATTCCGTCCTCACCATCATTATCAGCGCCGGCGTCAACAACCTTTCGTTTCCCTCGTCATCGTGGTTATTCCCTTTTTCTTTTCTCTCATTGTCTTTTGAAAGAGGGGAGGAGGAACGAGATCGAGTAAGAGAGGGAGAATGGTAGATCGACATGAGAGGATCAGAGTGAAAAGAGGTAGATCGAAGAAGGTTCCTTTTCTTTCTTCGTTCTGCTCGCCAGAGTACGAGAGAGAGAGAGAGAGAGAGAGAGAGAGGGAGAGGGGAGGGAGTAAGAGAGTGCATATTAGGCAAATGCGGGTATGGTAGGATAATCTCCATCCTTATCTGTTGGGTCTAGTATTAACCCGCCTAATACGGGCCCAAGCCCACCACAAAGCGTCTCACCTTGGCCCCAAGCCCATTCTAAGGTCCAGTACACTGGGAGGCGTCTAGACCACCCGGGGGGCGTCCACCACCGAAAGGCGTCCATCACCGTGAGGCGTCCAGCCTACCCGGGGGGGGGGGGTCCATGATAGCGGGAGGCGTCCATAGGATGCCTCCGGCTCCTATATTAGGAGGCCAGACCCTCCAAGCAAGGAGACTTCTCTCCCTTCCCTAACTTTACCACTTATGGTTCTCTCTCTAAACTCTATCTCTCTCTACATTCTCTACACTCTATCATATATCATATTCTAACTTGGGCGTCGGAGTTTAGATCACGGGGGCCGCCCCCGACTCTCCACAGGATTCTTCCACTCCCGAGGAGATCAGACGAGGGAGTCCGGATCAAGGTTCCACACTAATCCCCCGGTACTAATCCGGGTCAAACATTTTGGCGCCCACCGTGGGGCCTGATTTGGTACTCTTCTCGTTTGGTATCTGAAGGAGGAGAGGAAATCGATTCTTTCTCCACTAATTACCACCGACGGCCCCGACCGCAAAATCCCATCAGAGGATTGAAAGAAATCAGTCTCGCTTCACCAACTACATGCGAGGGATGCGCCTAGAAGATGCTGGCCAGATCTGCCAATCTTTAAAGCAACAAAGAAAGAAGAAAAAAAAATATTTCAGACTCCGGTCACCGGAGTTTCCCGCACCGCCTGAGCTCCAACTGGAAAAAGAGAGGCTTATTGCCGTCAACATCACATTGTCTCTTCCAATGTCTTTTTGAAAGGGACAGACCTGCAAAAGCAAGCAAAAAGCAGGCTGTGGTCACTGTCACTCTCTCTCACCAAAGAAAAAGTCATGTGGAGTTCCCAATAAAGCTATATTGGCCCAGTAAACCGCCTTAGCTTGCCTTCCACGTCGTTGGGCCGCCTCCATCCTTCAGTTCCAGTCCAACACGGTTCCACACCTCGAACCGCCAAGAAAGCCCAGGCTCGAAGGGAAGCCCATCCGACCTCGCAGAACCGCTGACAGTCGACGGCCCCGCATGGTCGCATCAGTGGATAAAGCACCGCCCAATCAAATGAAGAGTGTCCTCATTTAAAAAAAAAGGGTAAGTAATGAATGCGGTCCACATGGTTCGAACTCGCATCGCACTCTATTTATCAAGGTTCTCAACAAAGCCTGGCGAATCCTCGGTCCAACTGCATTTGGCCCGCCAACCATGCAACCGCACACCTTACTTTGGGCCCGCCTCCAACTGACAACTCGTCCGTCCCGCACAAAGCCCAAGACCGCATCAAAGCCACCAAAGTGGACCGCCCTCCAAGCCCAGCCCGCCTTCTGTCATGCAACAAAGGCACACCTCCTCAATTTCGACAAAGTGGACCGCCCTCCAGGCCCAGCCGCTCCGCAACAAAGACTACAACCACCTCCAACGCGGCCCGCCTTCCGCGCCTGATGACATTAGTGTCCAGCAAGCCCACGAGTGAAGAGCTCAATTTAAAAATAATATTGGAAAGGCGTCCATGGAGGATCGAACCCGATCCTCCTCGTACAAAGTGAAGTGCATACCACTGCACTACAAACGATTTTGTGAATCAAAACGCGACTCTCACTAATTCGACCATTTCTCTACTGCGTCTCCTACAGCTAAGTACTTCCTTCTAAGATATATTCAAATACTATGCCATGAAGACCGCCACTAATATCATACTATGATATTTCTCACCACATCCTATGCTCATATTTAAACTCTAAGTATATTGGGAACTAGTCACTCACATCTTTCGCAGATATAAAACCGCATCCCGCTTCCTCAGCGATGCTTCCCCTCTACGTAGAAGCCCGATTCCGCTTCCCAGTAGGCGTGACATCGGTATAGCTAGAAACACGATCCCGCCTCCTAGCAGGTGTGGCATCTTCAAAACAAAAACGACGCCTTGAGTTAAAACTCTCAAGTCGTGGGGGCCGCCCTCCCTAGCACATAGCTAACGCCTAATATTCAGCCAATAACTTACGCTTAACATGCACACAAGCTCATGCCCATCTCGCGGTCCAACAGCTTAACGCATACAGCTCACAGTTACGGCCTACATATTAGCACGCTCAGCAATGGTCTAGTGGGGAAATCTCAAACGACTTGAGAGCTCTAACTCAAGACATCGAATGCTAAGCTAAGAAGCAAAGACAATGGTCGCACAAGGGGCAAACCGCATCGTTTGGACCCGCAAGGGTCCAGTCCACTCGTGGGCGCCCATCACCGGAGGCGTCCATCACCAAGCAATGGCCGCACAAGGGGCAAAGCCGCACAAGGGCAAAACCGCATCGTCCGGACTCACAAGTAAGGCAAGTTAATACACCTTAACACGTTATTTACTCCTTCCATTCTTACAGAATACAAGAAGCAAAGGGGCAAATGTTGGGTCTAGTATTAACCCGCCTAATACGGGCCCAAGCCCACCACAAAGCGTCTCACCTTGGGCCCAATCCCATTCTAAGGTCCAGTACACCGGGAGGCGTCCAGACCACCCGGGGGGCGTCCACCACCGAAAGGCGTCCATCACCGTGAGGCGTCCAGCCTACCCGGGGGGTCCATGATAGCGGGAGGCGTCCATAGGATGCCTCCGGCTCCTATATAAGGAGGCCAGACCCTCCAAGCAAGGAGACTTCTCTCCCTTCCCTAACTTTACCACTTATGGTTCTCTCTCTAAACTCTATCTCTCTCTACATTCTCTACACTCTATCATATATCATATTCTAACTTGGGCGTCGGAGTGTAGATCACGGGGGCCGCCCCCGACTCTCCACAGGATTCTTCCACTCCTGAGGAGATCAGACGAGGGAGTCCGGATCAAGGTTCCACACTAATCCCCCGGTACTAATCCGGGTCAAACATTATGCTTAAATACTTCTCCCGAAATTTCCAAAATACCTCTGAACTTCTCTGAAATATGTTTGTCCCTGCCACCTTCCTTTTACTGAAAACGAAACAAAAGCAATCCCTTCGAAATTGCACCTAACAAGTTTAACCATTTAAGCTAATCGCCTAATTCTTGCAGCCTAAATCTTCTCTTAAATTTATTTCTTACACTACAAAAAAGATGAGGTTTGGGGACGACAAAAGTCGTCCCCGGAAATAGGGAAAATCGTCCCTATAGTTGTTGGGGATACTCTTGTCCTCTATTCTTTTGGGGACGACAAAAATCTAGGTCGTCCCCATTACTAGGGACGACAGTCGTCCCCGATACTCGCAAGTCGTCGTCTCGTTTCTTGTCCACGAAAGACAAAATGTCGTCCCCATAGCTATAACTGTAGCGACAATATGTCGTCCCCATAGCTATAACTTTAGCGACAAGAATTCGCCCCCTAAACATCATTTCTAGGGACAACCTATTGTCCCACATAATTGATTTCATAATTGAGTTGGGACAATATGGGGATAATTTGTTGCCCCCTTTTCTTTTTATAGGTTCGACATGTCGTTCCTATAGGTGTCAAATTGGAGTCCAAAATTCGTCCCTGAAAGATTTATTCAAGGACTAAGAGTGGTCTCCTATACTATATCTTTAGAGACGACAAGTTGTCACCTATTACTTTTAGGGACAAACAATTATCCCTTAAGTTCTGTATTAGGGGACGAGGAGTTGTCACTTATGTGCCTTTTGGGAACGACTAATTGTCCGCTATGTAACTCGTATGAACGACCTATTGTCCCTTAGCATGTGTCTTTGGAGACGACTAATTGTCCCATGTATCACTTGTGGGGACGATCAATTGTCCCTTAAACTGTATTATTGGAGACGCCTAATTGTCACCTATTCACTGGTAGGGACGACTAATCATCCCTTAAGAAGTGTCTTTAGAGGCGTCAATTTGTGATGTATTTAACTTATAGGGACGTCCTATTGTCTTTAACCTTTATAGTTGGGGACAACTCATTGTCACTCATATAACATTTTGGGACGACTTGTTGTCCCTTATGTGGTAGCATGAGGGACACTAAAATGTCATCTACGTAAATTTTATAGCAAAATATCAGAAATCATCTCCATAAAAATTAGAAAAAAACTACTACAATGTCATCCCATCCAAGACTAGGCAAACCAACATTTATAGTTTAAAAGAATAACCATTCTCTAATGAAACAAGAAAAAACTAAGAAAATATTGGATAACAAGTTCTAAATCAATGATTTGTTCTATTATCTCTCTTAAAAAAAAAGACTGACACTTATAACTCTTCATACGGCACCATGTTTCCACCAACAACCATCATTCTTCTCTTAGCTCCCTGGAAGTGAAATTAGACAAAATTTGACAGTTAAATATATGGCAAGGAGCCAAGGACATCAATTGCATGAAATGGAAGCAAAGACTCGATTGGGAAAAGAAATGCATTGAGCCATCTTAGAAAAGAAAAGCTATAAAAATCCATAACAATTTAAGGCTCTTGAGTACCTATTTTTCCTTTTTGAGTTCGAAACCTGCTTGTGTGGTGCACTTCGTTTCTTATTCGCACGTCTAGCCTGTATAACGAATTTGAACGAGAATGTTAGTAATTTAAATATATTTAATCTTCAACCTTAGTATTAAATTTTATACCTTACTAGAACATTCATCCCTTGTATATTCTTCTCCACGTGTGTCTTCCGAAGTGAGAGCATCCTCCCTCTAATTTTATGAGTGTGTTAGTCTGGTTGTGATTTTGTAAATGTATTGAAAAAATTCATGTAAGCTATAAGATAGAAAATTGACTACTTACTTGCCCACTGCGAGAAGATGATTCATGCCTTTCATTTTCCATCATTTCCATCAATTTTTCGAACCTTTGGGTTAAGGATAATTTTGTTTGCCTTGATCTGCTAATTTTGCAGTTAGGTCAACAACTTGAGCCTCCAGTTTTTCTATCTTCCAATTCTGATTGTTTGTCATACCCTTTGCAGTTGACTTGTACCCAGTACCTTTTCCGCGAACATAGCCAGAGCGAGCACCAAACACCACTCTCAAGACATCTTCATTATCGTTAACTATTCACCGGGTTGGGTTGGGTTTGGGTTTGATAAACCCGGCCCGTGGGTACCCGCTCATCCATATAATTAATTTTTTCGGTATATTTAATATTCTAAACAACTAATCTTATTTATATTTGTGGAGACATGTCTAATTTTTTTCTTTTTAATTGTGTAGAATGAAGTTGATGTTATGGAGTGGAGAGTAGAGTAGAGAAACTTAATTGAAAGAAAGAAGCTTTCAATTAAACATGTTATTTATGGATAATTTGTGATTTGCTTCAATTTTCTTGAGTTTTCTAGATTGGTGTTGAACAATTTGTATAGTTAATTTGTGATTTGCTTGAATTTTCTAGAATGGTGTTTTATATATGGATAATTTGTATTGAGAGATTGATATTTGACTTTAATTTTGATAAGAACTTGTAATTGTAAATTTTTTACGACAAAACCCGTGGGTACCCATGAACCCGCGGATACCCAACGGGTTGGGTTGGGTTTGAGTTTTTCAAACCCAGTGGGTTTTACCCCGAGTTTTTTTTCAAAGATAAACCCATGGGTTTGGGTTTGGGTTTGGCAAAACCCGACCCAACCCGACCCATTGCCATCCCTAGTGTCAGCATGACATGAAGGACAAGCCTTATAACCTTTCGTAGACCATCCCGAGAAATCAGCATAAGCTGGAAAGTCACTAATAGTCCATAGAATCGAAGCACGCAACTGAAAGTTCTTCTTGGAATGTGCATCGTACGTGTTAACTCCATTTTCCCATAAGTCCTTCAAATCCTTGATCATAGGTTGCAAGAATACATCGATACCCATACCCGGGCTATGAGGACCAGGTATTATCATTGACATGATAAAATATGGTTGTTTCATGCACAACCAAGGAGGCAGGTTATAGGGAATAAGAACCACTGGCCATATACTATGTTGGGAGCTCATGTTGCCAAAAGGTTGGAAGCCATCAATTGCTGCACCCAGTCTAACGTTTCTAGGATCAGATGCAAAAGATGGGTATGTCTCATCAAATGACTTCCACGCAGGAGTATCAGCGGGATGTCGCATTATACCATCATCACTTCTGCCCTCCTTATGCCACCTCATCTCAGAAGCTGTTTTACTTGACATAAACAACCTCTGCAACCTAGGCTTCAATGGAAAATATCGTAATACCTTGTGTGGTTTTCCCTTCCCCTTGCTGTCTATAGATGCATATCTAGGCATTTTACAAACTAGGCACGATGTTGCATCTTTATGAGGACCCCAGTATAATGTGCAACTCTTCTCGCAGACATCATACTTCTCATAACCAAGGCCTAATTCAGAAATATACTTACGAGCACTACTGAATGACTCGGGCAAATTAACCTTACCATCAGGAATTAAGACCATCAAAATGTCAAGTAAGTCGTCAAATGACTTGTTAGTCCACTTGTGAATACTTTTAAGATGAAGTAGTTTCACAATCGTCGATAGTTTAGTGTACTCACAGTTTGGGTACAATTTTTCCTTAGCCTCTTGCAGTAAGCGATAGAAGGTAGCAACATCTTGATTAGGTTCTTCTTCAACCTCCTCTGTGTCCATACCAAAATCTTCTTCTTCACCTCTCCTGCCATAAATGTTATTTAACAATCCATCCATATCATCAAGAGTATCTTCAAGCATATGGTCTTCATTAAGTTCTTGGGTACTTGTCGAGTCCTGAGTATTACCCGCACCTTCTCCATGGAAGTTCCAAGTTGAATAATTCTCCAAAATCCCATTTTTTAGTAGATGACATTGAACCTCGGAACGACCTTTATATACAGCATTTCTGCACTTTGTACAAGGACAACGAATGGCTTTTTTGTTGGCTGAATGAGAAAACGCGTAATTAATGAAGTTATTTACGCCGTCCACGAATCCCGGTTCTCTCCTGTTCCGTATGGTCATCCATTCTTTGTTTGGAATCATTTTCTATAAAAGATATATAAACTATGAATTATGTCACAAAAATATATATAGGTTAGATAATGAAAGAAACAGTAAAAAAATATTAATTGTGCGTACAGTTCTAGAATATGAGTAATTGAACTAAGCATTCTACTAACAAAAAAATTAATTCAACTAAGCTTTGGTGCGTGCAAATCACAGGGAAGGGGCTGAACTTTTTCATTAATGAAAAGGATTGGGGAAGGGTTGATTTATTAGCAGTAATTAGGTTAAGCAATTTAGCGGAAAGTAAGCTAGAAAAAAAACAATTTCGCCAAGCAACCATGATTGTCAGTAAAAGGAAAAAAGAAACAAGAAGCATGAATGAATGAGGCTTCCAAAATCTCTAATTACAAGAAAATAGTTTACCGACAGTTGTAAAATATCCTGATGGTGTTGTGCTAGAGCCTACAGATTCCTTTATTTGAGCTTCTTCCTTTGCTAGTTTCAAGATTTCTTGTATGAAAGTAAGTAGTAGAATGTGATGTTTAACGAAACCAAAACTCACCTATTTATAATGTAACAATAACAATCTAAATAGGAAAAGGAACATGATAAAGTACTAATTCAAAAATAAAAAGGATGCCAACAACCATCACTTTAACAATTACACGTTCCAAGATTAAAAAGAAAAACTAAATGGAAAAGGACATTGGCCTCCAAAATTGAGAAGGAAAAGGTTAAGCTTTAGTAGAGAGAAAAGTTGAGAAGGAAAGGGACTTCAGTTAGACGTAGAGAAGGAAAAGGGCCTCCTACTTTTGGGGACCACAAAAAATCTCACCTAATCCGCTAGAGAGAATAATTCTGCCCCATCTAATTTAATATTTTCGTTGGAGATTTTTTGGGACGAGTAAATAATTAATAAATCACATCTCCTATCTTTTGGGGACAGTTTGGTTTGTTTGTCCCCAGTAAAACTTAAAATACTATTTCCTGAGACAATATAACAAAGCCGTCCCCAATATTGGTGCCCAAAAATCTTCTTTTTTGTAGTGTTAACTTTCCTTCTCCGTAAATTCAAACGTCATTGGCACTTTAATTCAAATGTAATTCGACTACTCCTATACTCAAGTAACATCTAGTACTTGACTCGTGAGATTTTTAATCCTACTATGTCATCATAACTATTTTTTCGAAACCATGGTCAATAGACCGTGGTCGCTTTTAAGTCGAAATCATAATAATTTTCATATCAAAATTATTTCTTAAAAACTTCAATCTCAAGCCCAAAGCACGATCAATAGAACGGGTTAGGTTTCCTTCTTTCTCACAAAACCTTTTAAAACAAACTACGTGGACTTTGATCCCGACTACTCGGGTACGTAGGCAACCAATGGGTTCGAGTCCAACTAACAAATTTTCTCCGCATTTCCACGTGCGAGACTTAATATTTGAAATCTCTCGATTTAATCAAACTATGTGGACTTTGATCCCGACTATTCGGGTACGTAGGCAACCAATAGGTTCGAGCCCAACTAACAAATTTTCTCCCCTTAAATGATGGATACCAAATTACATCGCTTAAATAAGAAAAGTTATTATCTTAATCACGTGTCAATAGAAATGTGTTAAGATTCTTTTTCCAAAACCTATTTACTTGAACGAATTACGTGGAATTTGATCCCTACTACTCGGGTCGTAGGCAACTTATAGGTTCGAGTCCGACTAACTAATTTTCTCAACAATTTAACGTGTAAGTGTTAACACTTCAAATCACTCTTTTTATCGAACTACGTGGACTTTGATCCATACTACTCGGGTACGTAGGCAACCACTAGGTTCGAGTCCGACTAACAAATTTTCTCAACTATTTAACGTGTAAGCGTTAACATTTCAAATCACTCAATTTCAATCGAACTATGTGGACTTTGATCCTGACTACTCGGGTACGTAGGCAACAAATAGGTTTGAGTCCAACTAATCAAAAACTCTTTCTTAAGTTTGAGAACTACGTCAATAGACGTATGATCAAATTGGATAAAAATAATTAATTAATTAATCAATTCATATAATTAAATACATAAATAAAGTCAAATAATAATAATAATAATACACCTAAATATTTTAAAACCTTATTGATTTAAATAGTTCCAATTTTTTGGGCGTTGTGGGGTGTGAATACACTTCTCCACACGTAACCGTACTCCCGAACCCAAATTTCTAAAATTTCACAGACCAAATCCCGGTTCTGACCCTAATGTTAGAACCTGACCACACGCTGTTCGATCCACCACAACTAAGATGGATGGCGACTCCGAGCAAATTGCGACGGTCCCCCGATCCGGAGGCGCGGTTGCGACACGCATAAACATGAAGATGTAGCTTGCCGATTGTCTCTATCTTTGCGTGATCTACCTCGATCCCATGTTTGGAGATCTTGTGCCCGAGCACAATACCTTCACGAACCATGAAGTAGCACTTCTCTCAGCTGAGTGCCAAGTTCGTCTCCACGCACCTCTTCAGGACCGGCTCTACGTTATGGAGACAGTGAGAGAAGGAGTCTCCATAAACTAAGAAGTCATCTATGAAAACTTCTATAATCTCTCCAACGACTCGGTCGAATATCGCCAACATACACCACTAGATGGTCCTTGGTGCATTACAGAGTTCAAATGGATTCCTCCGGTACACGAAGGTACCAAATGGAGGTGAAAGTAGTCTTAGCCTGATCCTCCAGTGCAAGCGGGATCTGGAAGTACTCAGACATGCCGTCTAGAAAACAGTAGAACTCATGTCCCGTCAGCCTCTCTAACATCTGGTCAATGAAAGGCAATAGGAAATGGTCCTTCCTGGTGGCGTCATTCAGGCGCCGGTAGTCGATGCAGACTCTCCAACCAGTCACGGTCCGCATTGGGATCAGCTCGTTCTTCTCGTTCGGGACCACTATCATCCCGCCTTTCTTCGTGACCACCTGAGTGGGCCTGAACCACTTGCTATCATATATAGCTAAGATGATCCCGGCATCCATGAGCTTCACGATCTCTGCCTAGACAACTGCCTCCAAGTTCGGCATCAACCTCCATTGCAGCTGTCGGACTGGCTTAACCTCATCTTCCATCAAAACTCTGTTGCAGCTGTCCGTGATCTTCCACACCATGGCCTGGGAGTGGTTCTTTAACAGAGCCACTAGACTGCTCTTTTTCTCGAGAGTCAGCTCCGAGCTGAGGATAATGGGGAGTTGATTCCCCTCCCGAAGAAATGCGTACTCCAGATGAGCGGGGAGGGGTTTAAGCTCGAGCTCTGGTCGCTCCTCTAGTGAGGTAGTGATCCGGGGCGAGACATGGATCGGCTTGAAAGACTTCACTCACCCCTCTACCGTGGTGCTCACCAG